TTGTGGCCTTGCCTCTGATAGGGGGCTCTTGTTCCTCTTTTCTTGTAACACCATGGGGATTCATGCAATAGCCACAAATTGAGGTGTTGCAGGGTCACGGGTGGGTCAATCAGAAGCTGGACAGAGGCCAGGCTTGCCCCTTCCCAGCTGTGGGAACTCTGACGCAGGAGTTAGTCTCTCAGGGTTCCAGCTTCCTCATCAGTAAAATAGGACAGGGACAGCTGATGACCAGATGACCTATGGAAAGTGACAGCCAGGACTCACACATAAGTGTTAGCTCCTCCCCTTTGAGATAAAGAGCCCAGGGTGGGGGCTTCAAGATGTCCCTGGGCTTTGTTCCCACTGGAGAAACTCCCGGGGCTTAAGTGCCAAGTCTCTTCCGCCCGCTCGCTCGCAGAGTCGTTCCCAGCCGTGGGCAAGGGAAGCCCTGAACCTCCCCAGGCTGCACTGCCCGGTCCAGAGGCACAGGGCCAATCCAGGGCGAGCTGGGGGTGTCCACTCAGGCGGGCAGAGGGACGGCAGGAAGGTCCTCCAAGGGTCGCTCTGGCCTGCCCTTGCTCAAATTGCAGCAGTGGGTTTTAAGAATTTGGAAGTCTGGGGAACAGCCTTTCACTTATTTTTAATAACCATGGAAACACCCATGGAGGCCCATCCAATGCGCGAACAAAGCCGAGGAACGAAACTCCTCCCAGGAATCGTGAGACACCACTTATTGAGCACCTACTGTTTGCCAGCCCCGGTGCTAAAGGCCTTTCTCATTTCTCAGAGTCAGCTCAGTGTCATTTTATAGATGGGGAAATGGAGGCTTAACCTGCCCCAGGTCACACGGCCCAACAGTGAGTCAGGAGCTGGGCTCCCGTCAGGTGCCGTGGACTTCCAAATGCGCTCACCTCTCCCAGTGAGCTCTATGCTGTCTAGGTGACAGAGCTGTACCCACAGCACCATCGCCGGCAGGACAGGTGGCCTTTCCCAGAAGCTGGTGGCAAAGCTGAGTCCTGCAGGGCTCAGAAAATGACCCCCCAAAGACTGCTGCTTTGATCCCTGCAGAGACCTTGGAACCCACCTCGGGATCCCAGCCCCGGGACCTCCCGGGGGTCTCCCTGTCCCTGACAGGGAGCAGCTGTCTGTGAAGTCCCTTGATCTGCCTGAGGGCTAGTTCCACCAAGACAACACCATCGACCTTGGTCTTCTTGCTGAAATTTCATGAACCACGAGGACCTAGACAGACTTTCGCCTCACACTGGCCTCGTTTGCTCCCACAGAGGATCATTTACAAACCACTGTCTGTTGTGTGGACCGGTGGACTGTCCCGGGCCACCCTATGTTCTCCAAGCCCTTGAGTTCCCCTAAAATCCATTTACCATTCCCTAAAATCCGTCTGGGCTCCCGACTCTCCCCTCCTCCTGGGAAAGCCTGTAGCATCTTCTTCTTTTTTAAAGGGGGGGGGAGAGAATTTTAATATTTATTTTTTAGTTTTTCGGTGGACACATCTTTGTATGTGGTGCTGAGGATCGAACCCGGGCCGCACGCATGCCAGGCGAGCACACTACCACTTGAGCCGCATCCCCAGCCCAACTGTAGCATCTTCTTGAGCTGGTGGCAGCTGCTCTGTGATGGCCCCTTGCAGATAATACATTTGAGTGATTTCTCCTATTCATCTTTGTCACTTTATTCCAATAAGCCTGCAGAGGGCAGAACGAAATGTCCCCTCTGCCCCTTCTCCTGGCAGGCAGACTGTCACCTTTCTAATCCCTCAAGCCTGTGACTGTCCCCTTATGTGATGGCAAGGAGACTCTGCAGATGTGTTGAAGTTAAGGATCACACAGGGGGATTATCCAGGATTACCCAGGTCGGCCGGTATCTCACAACGCTCCGGATAAGGAGGAGGCCAGAGGTCAGCATGGACGCAGGAGGCAGAAGGGAGCCCAGGTGGGCAAGAGCCAAGACACGCAGGCAGCTTCTAGAAGCCGGGAAAGGTAAGGGGAGGAACGCAGCCCTGCCAGGACGTGCAGTTTAGACTTCTTGCCTCCAGAAGCGCTTCAAGAGTAAATCTGCACCATTTTAAGCCACTAAACCTGTGACAGCAGCCAAGAGGAAACTTGGATACCTGGGGATGTTGCATGTCAGAGGGAGGGACAGGTCTCACCCAGGAGGAAGGGTGGGATCCTGAGTGGCGATGACCACGGGCGCACAGTGACTCCCTTGAACCCAGGCTGCAGAGCCACAGGGAGGCTGTGTGCTGGAGAAAGTGCTGGGGAGGGAGGAGAGAGCCCAAGCAGCCCTCAGGGAGCTCAGAGCCACAAGCCAGGACCTGGGGACAGATGGGCAAGAGCAGACGCACGGAGGGACCCTGCAGAAGCCGGTCCTCAAAGGAAAAGGGACATCAGGCTCCAGGCCCCTGGCTGCTCCGTCAGAGCACAGGTGAGACATTGACCAGAACCTGCATTGTACGGCTCTCTAGCCCGGGATGGTCTGGGGGGCAGCCTGTGCCATATCCTGAAAGGGGGGGACTCTGCTGTGTCAGAAAGCCCAGAGCGGGGCCCTGGGAGGGCTGGGCTCTGTTGGAACCCGGTAGGGAACCATCTGGCCTCGTCTGCCTCCATGGTTAGAAGCCAACACAACACAGGAGGGCAGGGTGGGCAGGGGACACACGATTGGCCAAATACCAGCTCAGCCTTAGGAATCACAAGAAGATGGCGGTGACCCACTGTGGGTGAGCTGGAAATGACACATGGCCCAGGTGGCCTCTCTGGAGTATAGTCCTTTTACTTGATGATTTGGGGAGGCATTGAGAGCAAATATTTATAAATTAAACATCTTATTCGAAAATAAACAGGTTCCCTTAGAACCAAAAACAAAGTTGGTATTCATTTTTTTAAATATTTTTTTAGGTGTTGATGGACTTTTATTTGATCCATTTATTTATATGCGATGCTGAAAATCAAACCCAGTGCCTCACGCGTGCTAGGCAAGCGCTCTACTTGTATTCATTTTTAAAAGAAGAAATTTCTGAGTACAAGCCAGGTCCCCAGATACGGACTCCCTCCGCCTCCCAAGGGACGCATTCCCTTCCTCTGTCCTTGACAGACAGGAGGAAGTCTGAGAAGCCGACTGCTGTCTTCTGGGGCTGTTCTGAGGATGAAACCAGGTCAGGTACAGGCATGCTTTGCAGGCATAGAAGGATACCTGGTTTCACTGTGATTTGCTTTCTTACCACTTCAAAGCATTGCACCGTTTGCATGTTCAAGGTTTGTGGTGACCCTGTGTCCCCTGCATCGAGCAGATCTACTGGGACCATTTTCCAATAGATCAGATGATCACTAGCATTTTTTTTTTTAGCAATAAAGTAATTTGAAATTAAAGTCTGTGTATTTTTTAGACAGAATGCTATCACATGGTAGACTATAGTGTAGCACAAACATGACTTTTATATGTACTGGGAAACCAAGCTTCTGTGTGACTTGCTTTACTGACACTTTCACCTAACTGCAGAGATCTGGATCTGAACCCTCAACATCTCTGAGGTCTGCCTATATCGGATAGTCATCGCCATGCTCATGGCCTGACAGACACCTGACTTGAATCTATTACAGGACTCACTTCTCACCAAGGCCTGGGCTGGGTGGGGATCAGGGCTCTGCTTGGTTTTGGACAAGTCCAGGCAAATACAGGTGGGACCTTCTTTTCAAAAAGTTCATCCCTTTGAAACATTCCAGCTCTGTATTGGGTGGCCATTTAGGTAGATACACTTATTGACATTCATCACACAATTAATTCCTGCACCACATTTTGCTGCATATAAATTCACCTCAGTAAAATATACATATATATATATATATATACATACATACATATATATTATTTTTTTTAAATTTCCCTTCATCCTCAAACATGCACTTTGCCTATTTAACTGAGAATATGCATGTGAGTGCACAATGCCTCTCCACAGTGCTCACTGGGGCATCTAGCTATGACGAATGGGCACCCCTGGACTCACGGTCCCAGCACCTGGAGGAAGAACTCAGCTCTGCTGACCCTTCCTCTCCTCCCATCCCACTCAGCCATCCAGGCATCCAAGTAATGGACATGTCTCTCTCCTGCAGGGCAGGGCTCACAGCAGCCAGGGGCAGTACCCCAGAGCAGGAACCAGGAGGGACCGTCCAGGGGCTCAGGGCTCCTTCTGAAACCTCTGCACTAATGAGGAAACCACAGACAACTGTCAGATCTCCTTTTCCTTATTCCTCCCAGCACACACCCTGAGCGAGTCCCAGGAGACTGGGCATTCAGAAGAGATGGGGTGCACCAGCACTTGGGGAAATAGGCAGATTTCATATGTATTGGGGTAAGAGTAAAGACATTTTAGGAGAGTGGACGCTCTGGAATGGACACAGTCCAAGATCATTCAAAACAAACATAATAAATGGGAGAAGCCTCAACCTGCTGCATACAATGATAATCACATTGGAAGCTGGAAAACAAAATATATACTCAACATTTGGCAAATAGATTTATGTACTGGGAAACCAAGCTTCTGTGTGACTTGCTTTACTGCCACTTTCACCTAATGGCAGAGATCTGGAGTTGAGCCCTCAATATATCCTTATCATTTGCCCTGGGATTCTGGAATATTCCCCACACCGAGGACCCCACCCTAGTCCAGCACCTTGAACCCTGGCAGCTGCCACAGCAGGAGCCACCCAGACCCTAGTCCCGCTGCTGCTGTGCTAACAGGCCAGTCAGTGTCGGCCATGTTGGATAAGGAAATACTTTTGATGTCCCCTGCCCACGGGAACATGATTTAGGAGTCATCCACAGCAGATCGTGATCGAAAGAGCACACATTTTGTCTCAATGAAGTGCTGCCATGGTAGGGGGTCAGGGAGACTTAAAGTGGGAGATACACACCATGTGAAAACTCTTTGTAAGATTTCTCCACTTCTAAGCTTTGCATCGACCCTAATTGCAGACATGTGTCTGTCTTTCAGATCGACATTTTAAATGCAGGGAAGAAGGAAAAGTCTTGGAGGACCCAAGAGAAGACCATATCTGGAACTGTATGTGGGCAAGAGGCTCTGAACAATCAGCTTCTCAAGGACCGAGGCGCCTGGTCCCGATTCCACCCTATCAAAGCATGTGAAATGAGCGGCGGCCTCTCCATCACCCTGGGTAACAATTATCACTGATGCTCGCATATTGGGCGGGGGTGGTGGGGTCCCTGGTGTTCTGTCCAGGGTCTTGTCAGGCCAAGGTCTTGTCAGGCCAAGGTTGATTCTCCCAGCAGGTGCCTGGAGAGCCAACAGCAGCATCTCGCTCTGGCAGGGACCTGTGCCTTATAGCTGCAGAAAACCACTGTCTGTCTCAAATGTCTTTCTAGGAAATGAAGCGGGGAGAGACTGAGCTCCATTTAATGAGGATCATCTGACTGCAGAATCACCCTACAGGAGGTTATAGCTCTGCCTGGAAAATATGAATTCAAACCCTCCAAGCATGAAAAAGAAATAAGGAAAGAAGGGTGGGAGAGAGGAGAGAGAAAACAAAGAAAAGAAGAAAGAAGAAAAGACAGACTGTTGGAAAATGGAGGAAAACTGAAAAATGTCATTGCTGAGTGTAAGATGTGGGCCTATCTGGACCCTGGTTAGGGAAGGCCACCATCAGAAGACATTGCAGAGATGATCCAAGAAATGCAAAGCTGAACTACCTAGGAGAGGAGAGCAGGGAATTTGTGTTCATTGTCGTGGGTGCAGTAGCCGTGGTGTGGTGGCTGTAGGGAAAGATAGGAAGGAAGGACTCCTTATCAGTTAGAGATGCTAGCTTCAGTATTGACGGACAGAATGTCACTTAAGTATTTACAAACGGTATGATGCTGTTTACTTAGAAATTTTTGCAGAAAAATGGAAAATCTTAAAATTAAATTAGGAAAGCTAGTCCAGTTACAACAGTATCAGGAAGAATAAAATACTGAGAAATCAATTTAAGAAGTGAAAATTAAAAGACATTGTTGAAAGCAATTAAAGATGCCAATAATGGAAATGTGGATCAGAAGACGACTTCATGTGGTTCCCAAATTGGTATACAGATCCCATGCAGTTCCTGTCAAGATCCTAGTTGCCTTCTGTAAAAACTGAGAAGCAGAAACTATGAGCCCAGAATAAAACAATCTAGAAAGAGAAAAAAGTAAAAAGATTTACACTTCATGACTTCAAAATTTATTACAGCCGGGTGAGGTGGCACACATCTGTAATAGCAGCAGCTCTGGAGGCTGAGGCAGGAGGATCATGAATTCAAAGCCAGCCTCAGCCATGGTGAGGCACTAAGCAACTCAGTGAGACCCTGTCTCTAAATTAAATACAAAATAGAGCTGGGGATGTGGCCAAGATAATTCAATGGAAAAACAGTCTTTTCAACATAGGTGCTGGGATGATAGGATACCCACATCAAAACAATGAAACCAGACCCCTTCCTCACACCACACAAAATTAACTCAGTATGGATCAAGGGCCTAACTGTAAAAGCTAAAAGCTATAAAGTTCCTAGAAGAAAACAGAAGAATAAAAAGTTGAGACCTGGGGTCAGGCAAAGCCTTTTCAGAAATGACACTCAAAGCCAGACACTAAAAATTTAAAGAGAGAAAGCAAAAGAGATAAATTGGACTTCCTCAAATTAAAGTACTTGTACTTTAAAGGAAATCATCAAGAAAGTATAAAACAACCCAGAAAGTGGGAGAGAATGTTTGCAAATCCTGTATCTGAGAAGGAAACTATATCCGTAATATATGAATAATTTTACAATTCAATAATACAAAGATAAATGAAATCAAAACAGGCAAAGATCTGAATAGACATTTCCCCAAGGAAGACATACAAGTAGCAATAAACTTGTGAAGATACTCAACATCATTAGTTGTTAAGAAAAGGCAAATCAAAACTACAAGGAGATACCAATTCACTTAAACTAAAAGTGACTATAATCAAAAAGAAAATCTCAAGAGTTGGTGTAGATGTAATTAGAATACTGCTGGTAGGAGTGGACCACGGCATAGTTGTTTGGAAAACATTCTGGCAATTCCTGAAAAAGTTAATCATAAAGTGACTACATAACCCAGAATTTCTACTCCCAGGCATCCATCCAAAGGAACTGAAAACAGGTATTCTAACAAATACATATGCATGAACATATAAATGTTCCCGGCAGCACTGTTAACCATAGCCACAGACAGAAACAACCCAGATGTCTCTCCACTAGCAAATGGGTAAACAAAATGCAGAACATCCATACAAGGGGACATATTCAGCCACAAAAAAGAACAAAGTTATGATATATGCTACAATGTGGATGGATTTTGAAAATATACGATATCTAGAAAGAGCCTCACAGAAAAGCACACGTGATCTCTCTCATATGAAATTTTCAGAATGGGCCAATCTATAGAAACCAACATTACAGTTGCCTGGTGTTGCAGTAGAGGGAGAGTAATTACTAATGGTTTCTTGTTGGGCTGATGAAATGTTCTAAAGTTGGTTGTGGTGATGGTGGTACAACTGTGAATACATGTTTTTTTTTTTTTTTTTGGGCAGGGAAAAAAAGTGGAAAGATTGAATGCTTCCATATTTTTAAAAGTTAAAAAATGCTAAATGATGACAGTTTGAAATCAAAGTCTAATTTTAAATGAAACCCGAAATAAATTCCTACGATGTAAAAATATTGACTTATCATTTAATGCACAGAGGAGATGTCTGGAAACGACTTAGCAAAATGTTGTAAGATAGAGAGCCAGTGAAGGAGTCCCAAGGGGAAAAGTCTGGACCAGGCTCAGCCCTTTCTTGTGACTAGGAAGTCACAAAGACAAGGATTCATCGAATGGTCACCTTGTCCAGAACCTTCTTAGAACTGAGAGAAATTGCAATCAGCCAGCAGTGCTAAGGACTTGCCCAAGCTCCCTGCCTTTCACAAGAGTTTTGTAAGGAGTAAATGAGACGAGGTACAAGATAAAGCTTTAAAATTCCTTGGAATACAGCCAGGCGGAGTAGTGCACGCCAGCTACTGGGGAGGCCGAGGCAGGAGGATGACAATTTCCTGGCCCACTTAGTGAGACCCTGTCTCAAAATAAAAAAATAAAAACAGCTGGAGATTTAGCTCAGTGGTAGCATGCCCCTGGGTTCAATCCCTAGTAGGAAAAAAAAAAAAAGTACCTCTCCTCGGCACTGTGACTATGGCATCTAAAATATGGGGCTCCAACAACAGTTCTACTCTCTTGCTGTAGCCAAGTAGGAGATTAATTTTCCTGAACCTCATTTAAAAAGGCAAAGAGGAGCAGGTGGAATTAATTTTAATTGTACACTGCTCTTCACCCAGTCTCTCCAAACTTTTATTAGCATGTAATCAGTATAAACATGAGACATTTTACATAGATCTTCCAGACTCAGCCCTGGAGATCTGGTATGAATTTTAAGTGGTAGATTCTGGGGCTTTGGTATTAATGGATATGATAGAGCTGGAAATGGAGCAAAACTGAGATCGCATTAGTCGTGTGTGTGTGTGTGTGTGTCTGTGTGTGTGTAGGGGGCAGGCATTCAGGGATTCTGTTTTGTGTGGAGTCTTCTCTTACCTATTTTATGTGCCTAAGGGGTGGGGTAGGGCAGGGTTAAAGACAGACAAATACAGAAGTGTATCTCTGTCCTAGAGGTCTGAAGGTTCCGGGGCCAGGAGGATTTTTCCTGTCCCTCCTGGCCTCCCCTCCCCAAATTTGGAGGCAACATTCTGTATCTCCAAAGAACAAGCCTGCTACCTCTGCTATTCAGAGAATATTCTGTCCTCACAACTGTGATATTTTGGGTCATTTTGGCAGGAGGCAGAGATGGGCAGTGGTGGAAAGAACTCACAAATTTTCTCTGAATCGGGAACCTGTGAAGTACAGACATCTGGCCGTAGGATTTTGCTGGCTCCAGGACATCACTGTAAACCCACTAACACTAATTGCTTTCACGTCTGCTCCCATTTCTAGTGGCAATGAAATGCTTCTCTGGCTAATGGAAAATGAAACGCCCGTTTGCTATTTACCACATTACATAAGAGCTCTCTGTGCTACCTCTGCTCCCTGCAGCCCCTGCCCTGAAACCCTTTGAAAGGCATCTTGTGTGAAGCCCGAGAGGACTCCACTTGGACGGGTAATAAGGCCCCAGAGAGACACCTCATTCCTGCTAGGGCTGTGGAACTCCCACATCCTAGCCTAGATGGAGGGGAGGGGAGGGGAGGGGAGGGGAGGCAGATGGAAAATGGGGAGATAAAATGAAAGGAGTCCTGCCTGTTTTAAATTCATGCTTTCTGGAGTATTTTGTACATGTGTACTTGATGTTAAGTACAAAGGCCTAGAGAGTAGCTCCTTGACATTCAACTTCCAAGTTCAACTTCCCTGAGCAAGAAGGGGAAATGTGGGTCCAGCTGGAATGGAGATTTTAGAAAATGGACTCTGAACCCATAGGGCCTTCTAGAGTGGTTCTTAAAATGCTTTACAGATGGTCACTGGGAAGCTTTGTTTGGGAGTCCTGTTGTAGTTGCTGCCTATATTCATCCCAGGGTTGGGTCTTTTGTTTTTTGTTTTTATTAATTAATTTATTTATTTTAATTAGGTATATATGACAGCAGAATGCATTTCGATTCATTGTACACTGGGTCAGTTCTTATTACACAGGGTGGTGATGAGTACAGAGGGCAAGGGCTATCCTTCTTCTCCTTCCAATCACTCTCTCCTTCTCTAGTAATAGAACCATACATTTTTACCTGGACCCGTGGATTCCAAGAATGGAAACTACATTTCCCAGTTTGCTTTGCAATCAAGGTTGGCCATGTGACTAAGTTCTGGCCAATGGGATAGGAGTAGAAGGGACCTGTAAACTTCCCATGGTGCAACTCTCCATTCCCTTACCTTCCTGTGTCCATAAGCACAGGCACAGGGGTGAGGCCATATTGAACCACATAGTCAAGAAGAGTGGGGCAACAAGATAGAGAGAGGGTAGTGTGAAGCCACCAGGTTGTTACAGAGGGCTTACTGTATGAGAAAGAAATTGTGATTTTTGGATTTGGGATACAGTGGCTGAAATTGTATGCTTGGGATTTATCGGTGAAAGAGAAGACAGGAGACTATCCATCCCCCTTAACATTGATGATGACACCTTTGGCTTTCCTCTGGGAAAGTCAACCTCTAGCTTCTCTACCTTTCTCATGGATAAAGAATCTCACCCTTACTAGCTCCCAGACTACAGAGACTGTACATTCCCCGTTTCTTTCTTTTTCTTCACCTCCATTTGCCATCTACTTTAAGAGCACCACTCCTTGACCAGACTGGCTCAGGCTCCCTGAATAAAGGACCATATTAAAAACTAATGTCAATGTCTCTTTGGAATGCCTTCCAGACACCCTGTTACGATGGCCAAGAAAACTGTCCAAGACAGCCAAGTTCAAAGGCCTTCTCCTAGAACTGAAAATCTCCTCAAAGCAGAGATTGGGTTTCTGAGGAAACATCACCTTCTGCCCAGCTCTGAGGCTGTGTGGAGCAAACCTGGGGACAAGGAGACTAAGATCAAAGGGACCCAGAGGATCAGCCGTTACAACAGGACCCAGTTGCATGGCTTTTCCTGTCACTGGATTTCATCGTCAGGGAATTGCAAACACAAACCCTTTTTTTAAGGTAGATAGTGATGAAATAATTAGGGTGACTCCGACTCAACCCCGCCCTTCCCCGGCCCACCCAACTGACTTTGGGAGATTGCCCAACCCGAGAGCAGAAGTTCACACAATATCTCTTCTGGGGTCAGCTCCCAAAGGATGGGAGCACTTGGCTTAGCTCCCAGAAAAGCTGTGATCTGGCGAAGGTATGTGAGAAATGCACCCTTCCCTGGGGAACAACGCAGGAGAGTGGCAAGAGCCCTGTCTGAGTAGCATTTGTCCTCTACATGGAGGCTGACTTGGGAAACAGCCACCTGATCAGAACACAACTGAATGTGACCTTAGACCAGGCTGTGGCAGGCAGAGTGTAATTTCTTTTCCTTGTAAGGGCAGGGCCCAGTCTCAGTTGTCTTGTTTTGCCTAATTAAATTTGCCACACAATATCGCAAGTATCTTATCTAGACAGGAGGCAAAATCTTCCCAGTGAGGGAAGGTTTGACCAGGGGCACGTTTTGTTCACAGACAACATGGACTGTGAGGGGGGTGTAGTTTCTCTACTAA